TTGATCGCATTTTAAAGATAGGAGCTAAGCTAAAGACGCAGACTCAATATTGTAGTTTTACTAAATGGTTCGCATTACAACATGTTGACAACCCAGGAGGTGAATTCTTAACCAATTAAATAAACATTGTGAAGAAGTTACAGAAATACATTAGTTTTTGATAGTCACATTTTGGGCTATTCTGGGAAATCAAAGCATGATCTGCTCAAGCAAGGAAGGTGATCAGTTAAAGAATACCCTCGATCTGAAGAGCCGATTGAGGCCACCACACCGGCGGTTCTGTTCAGTGGTTCGGTTAACCTGCCGCGTAACTTTATTATCATTAACTTAATGTATTTCTTTTTAATTTTAAACCCATTTTTATTAATTAAAACTTTGCCAACTTTCAATAAAAACGGATGTTATTGTATTACGTGGTACAGAGGAGTACATGATTGAAAAAGTTGAGAAACATGTATTGGAAGACAGCCATATCCATATGAAGAAGAAAAAGTTTTCAGAATTATTTGGAGTATCAAATTTTGAAAATCCAAATGAATATCTTGGTATGAATAAAGTGTGTTCAAGATGGGTTGCGTAAATGCTGCCGCCGCTTCCGAAATAAGAGCGCGTAGAGCAGCAAAACGAAAAAATTATGGCCCTAAGTTTCCCATTGAAGCATAGTACGATCGGACCAACTGATCATTTATATGGGTTAGAACTGAAAATCAGCGATTTACTCTCGGAGTAAATGTTACGCTGAGTTTTCGCCCATTCGCATCGCTGCTGCACACGAAAATATCAGTATTTTTGTATAAATATAATTTGTTATATTTTTAAAGGATTTGTATAATTGTAAAATTTGTATTCAATTTTGTATGTGTGCATGTTGGTGTGAATAAAGCTTTATCTATCTATCTGATTCCTGACCCACTTGCCCGATAATTGACATAAAAATGTCAAAATGGGCAAGTTTTCCTTTGAAGAAAATTAAATTTGGGACCTTTTAATAACAAGGAAACTGTGTTAATATGAATCAAAGATATTTGAAATGTGACCTTTATTTTTAATGCAATAGATCATCTATCTATAGGTAGTATAAAAATGAATCGCTGAATGCGTTGCTAAGCGCAAATCTCGTTTATTCTTTTTTTAGAATATTCCTTGAAGTATGAGGATGGTTCATATGCAGAGAAAAATAAAAAAAATGCATTAAAAAGTCCAAAAACAACACTTGTCTATAATCCCATACAAACCATTCATAATAATACTTAAAAGTCAATTTGAACTTTAATACCATACCATAAATTTCAAATATTAGTGGAGAGGTTCCAGGAAGGCAAAACAATTGAATGTTGATCGAGTCATAATAAAATTGGAATAAAAGTTTGAATTTCGAAATCACTTTTAAAATCACTACATAGTATAAAGCAAAGACGCTTCCCACTATCTGTCCTTATGTAGGCTTAGATCTTTAAAACTACGCAACGGATTTTGATGTGGTTTTTTTAATAGATAGTGATTCAAGAGAAAGGTTTATATGTATATATATAAAATAAATAATATTGCATAAAATAGTGGAGAAACACTGATAATTTTAGAGATTTTTAATGTAAGGTCGTTAATAAACACATTTTTTTGCGCTCACTTTGCAAACGCTGGCTGAACCCTACGAGATAGACAGTAAGTTATGTACTACAGTATTGTACACCTTAAAAGGTTTACAAAAAGTCCGCGATGGTATATGTCTATCTCTTGGGATAACAAACAAAAACCTCCTTTTTTTTCCTATACTTTTTACGAGAAATAATAGCTTATTTACGAACATTTTACGAAGCGATTTTCAGGAATATAACATTCATCCTTATCCAATTAAGTACCTTAAAGACATTGTGCATTTAATATACATCTATTTGGCCCTTTAAATCATGTAATTTAAATGAATATTTTCGAAGATATTACAGATTTAAAATGCAGGGACATAGCGGTTCTAACGCTACCGAGCGGGGGGGTGGCGGCGCGTGCCTTTTGTAATTAGGTATTAGAAGAATATCATTGTGTATAATACAAGCCTAAGAACAAAAACTACAGTCTACACTACAGCTCTACACTGAAACGAAGCGAGGGCGGGCCACTATTAATTAATATAATAGAAACTCTTTCGATTTCTTGACAATTATAAAAAACGTTGGTAAACTAATAGGGAAATTTTTAGTCCATGGTGAACAATTGAAATAAATAATAACAAAAGCTGTCATGTCAACTAAAATAAGCTTATGGTTAGTCAGGAATCAAATTGGCTGATTGTACCTACATCATTTAATAGTGAATTGCCCGTTTGAAAGGTCAATTTCTAAGAGTCCCTAAGTCCCAAAAAGCGCAAAACAGAAATGTTTGATTTTAAATAAAAATTTATCCTATTAAAAACGACATGGTTCAAATTTGTATGGAGAGTGGTAGTCAAGTCTCCAGCAGACTCCAAATTTTTTTGAGATGTAGTGCACCTAATATAACTATTAATTGGCAAATGGCAAGTTTATTTATCTATTTTTTGATGCTAGAGTATATGCTATTAATTAGGTAAAGCAGAAAATAATTATTCTGATGAACAGAACATTTATTATTTCATTACATAATGAGATATTAATTTGTGGGTATTTTATTCCAAGAAGAATGAGTCACAATTTCACGAATATCATGCATTAATGGACTGATTGACATTTGCCATAGTAATTAAATTGTTGTTTTAAGCTGACACTCACTAAAAATATGACCTTACTTATGACAGGGTGGCCAGCATCCTTACAAAATTGTACAAGTTTTAAACACAACTTAAAATTTATTAGAGATAAATGAGAAATTATAAATATCCATTCATGTTATGATATAAAACATACTTTCAAATGATATATATGTTTCGTTGATGCCAGAACCGGACTATCACTTCTGAACCATCTCCTTTAAATACAAATGAAACACTATTGTATAGGCAGTAATTATTATTAATGTTAATTTATGAAAAATATTGTAATCATCTTGATTAACTTTATAAAAAAGATCTTTAAAAGTGACGGACTTAGGTTCTAACAATTGGACTCAGCCACTTTTATTATAATCTCAGTTTATCACTCTCATCTCTCATTTTTGATTTTACAGTGATTTTTTCCCTCCAACGAGGAACTCTTTTTCGTCAGAAAAACACTTGTTTAATTTAATTTGGCGAAAAAGAAAATTGTGTGAGATTTTTGTACACATAAATAATTTGAGTATTTCTTTTTATTGTATATAATTATTTTCTTAACTTTTAAGAAAATATGATTAGGACAGTTTCCAATAAGTAGAGTAACATTCAACTTACAACATGTGATAAGTGGTGCTGCAGTCAGGTTTTAGAATTAATTTTTCAATATTTCATTGGGTAAAACAAAATCTGTACGACTGCTAGTTTGTTACTAAAAACAAGGTTTAAAGAAAATTCACAAAAGATTATTTTAAATTAAGTGCCATAATTAACACATTTATATAAAAAAGGTATCAGGTACATTGTATAGCAAGTGACAAATAATTTCAGAACATTTATGTAAGGAAGGAAGGTGCGAGTCCCGTCTGCTGCCTGGATCACATGGAATTTATTTCTAGTCAAATTTTCTTTACAATCAAATATTTACATAACTTTGTATTCTAATATAAATTATCTTTTAACTAGCAAACCAGTGAACCAAACGTTCACCAAAACCTGATTTAAAAAAAAATGTATTTAATTAATTGAGAACTTCGGAGATTTTGTGTGGTTTCGTTTGAAATTCGTGATTTCTCGAAAACCGGAAGTGCTACGTTACTCAAATCCGGTTTGTAGTCTTATCAGACTATTCTTAACTTATAACTTAAATATTCTCTTTATCTATCTCTTACGGTTTGGCCGCTGAAACAGCACCACAGACAGACGGACGGACTTGTCTAATAGATAAGAGATTCCTATTTGGTTACCAGGACTACTAACAAAACACAAACCAGGCACATACAAAGGTAAAAAAGGTGCAAATTACTAAATCTAAGTTCTGTCTAAGTTAGAGTAAGTTTAATTAGGTTGCCACATTACACATAATGGTGTCAATTCTGGCATGATTCTCTAAACTTAAAACTCAATTTAACATCAGTCTCTCCTTTTCCATCTGTAAAGAGAATGACAAGGATACACTGAGCACTATTGTCAAATTTAAGTTTAGATTTAGAGAATGATGTCAGAATATTTAAATTAGTTACAGATTCCAAAAAATATTATTAATATTAATGTTTAATAATTTTAGAATATTGCAATTATTAATTATAGAAATACTGGATAATGTGACTTTGCATTTTAATTATATTAATATAGATACAATGGATAGCCCATCATACCTAACACCAATTACAAAACTAAACAGATTCAATCAGGAAACAGGACAGTATTCTATCTGAACTATACCAGTTTACAAATATATTGCCTTTGCACTGTTGATATCAACCTGATATTTACTCTGGTTATGAATTACATTATATCATCTCAGCATTCTATTCAGGGTGGTAAAGATGCTTATTATAGTTACTGCATTTTAAGGAAAGTATGCCACAGTAAATATAATAATCCAACAGTAATCTGTACTTCAGGTAACAAATTTAAAATAATACAAAAACACAAAGTATGAAAGCAATTAAGTGCTGATTACATGATTTAAAAATCATAAATCAGGTTCCATAATAATTTAAGTATAGTTAAGTTTAATCTTTCTTCTTCTCAATCATTAAGCTGAATCTTTTAGATTCTTCTTTGCTGCAGTTCTTTTGCAGGATACTCTGTACTTTCTTTTACCCTTTTGCATTCTCCTCTACTAGTCCTGAACATAATTAAATCTCTAGCGATTATAAGAAAATAATTCTGAATACTTACCTAGGTAACTAAACTGTTGTTTTTTCAAGTTGTTACTCATCATGATTTAATGGAGCTTTAGAACAAATATAAGCAGTTTACAGAGAGTACTTACTGCTGAAAGCAGCTAATTTCCTAGTAGAGCCGAGGCGCTTCATGGGTGTGCGAGGCTCCACATCGCGGTCCTGCAGCGCTGGCGCCTCGGACACCAACGCCGACGCCGGCGCCGCCCCCGACATGCTGGCGGCCGCCGCTCACCGCCCGCCCAACAACACTACAAACCACTCGCGTAACACACTACACATCGAACTTCAACGTATCGCAATTCTAATAATTATAGCATTCATATCACAAAAGAAACAAATTTTAAACAATGTTATTGTTCGGTTATTGTCTTAGTTCTGACCAAACAAAACTTATAAAATATACAGATATAAGTGGTGAATGGTTACTATGTGAACAGGCGAAGAGCGGGAGTACTTGGTTAAAATTGTCAAGCACCCAATTAATTTGAGCAATAAATATTAAATAAATACAAGAAAGAACTGCTAAAACGAGCTCTACGAGTAAATGCGTGCTAACGGCCGCTTCGCTTTGCTTTCACTTTATAACTACTTTATGCCCGACTGACACTGACAGTGACAGAGGCAGTGTTGCCACCATGGTTTCTGAAAAGGGGCATTCGGACTCTAAATAGAGTTAGATTTAGCAAGTTTTGCCAACAAAAAGTTTTTGGAAAGTGCTAAATACATACGGGGTGTATTCCGTAATATATACCAGTATACTGGTATACCAGTACATGAATCGACGCTATACTGATGAATTGTTTCGAAATATACTGGCCAGTGCACTGACGTCAAAAATCGACGAAATATTAATAATAGTGCGAATAAAGAAGATTTTTTTTATTCACCTATTCAATAAAAAGGAATTCTTTTTGTTCGGATGCCATTATTGATCTGTAAATAAAAAAGAAATAAAATTCGAATGCATCTCACACACGCTCGGTCATACGTTATATTCGTTTTCCCGGTTAAATATGGTAGCATACCAGCACAATATGCCGTCAGATTCGTGACGTCATTACCACTGGCCAGTGTACCGATGTATATTTTGGAATACACCCATGCAAAACATTAAAAAGTAATTCCAAAGACTGCAAGAAGTTATTAAAACAATGAAATAAATTATTAAAAATCTAAGTTTTTTTATCAGAATCTTTCAAAGTCTTATAAGTGGAAGAAGTTGATGTCTGATTGATATCTGTTTTCTTAGCCAATTTGAACCAATATATTAAATTACTGCGAAGTTTTCGTATCGCTTGAAAACAGTTACATTGCTCTTTTAGGGCTAAAGCATGAAAAAATCAAAAATCCCACCAAAAAGGGCTGGCTACACTTGACGGAAAGACAGTGGTCAGTAATAGTGAGACAAGGCTACGTTCTAAATCTACACTCTTAGCGCATCTTTTTACACTTACTTTTCAATTTGATAATGATGTATGGTATTTATGTCTAAATTAATATTATTTGCACCTGGTATTAGGTTCTGAACGTAGCTCTGACACTGTTCACCGACTTGTGAACACTTCAGTATTGCCAGATAAAGGATTGGAAAATGCGGTAAAGGTACTAAGAACGGTGATTTTTAACAAAACTGTTCCTGTTACCTCATTGGTTTTTAACAAAAACCTGATACGACCATCGTGCACCAACTTATGCTGAGAAAGGGTCCTGGTTAATTTATATTCCTTATTTTTATAATTTATTCTTTAGGATGTGGGATAGTAAATATATTTTTTCTTTCTTTAAAAAAATGTGATAACTATCGTTTATTCATACAGCACCTAAGAATTTTACATATATCTTATTTGTTGTTTGCGTGCAACAACAACAATTAATTGTAATTAATGTAAATAATTCATATCAGTTTTAATAAAGTAGGTATCTATCAGCGTGTATATACGTATTAATAGGTTGATGATGATATACGAAAACATGGACGGGATGAATGTAGTTGAGTATAATTGAATTAAGAAATCTTTCTTAATTATTACATTTTAGTGACTTACATCTAAAAAAACAAAAAGTTTAAAAAATTCAAATCACTGATTTTTTTTGCTACTTATGCTCTCTTGGTTACAGGTGAACTTTACTCACAGCATCAGCTGGTGGGGAAACAGAAAAAACGGAAGAGAAGAAGGCTGAAGGAAACGCGGAAGAGTGGTGCATCTGGCAACACTGGCACAATGGCTGAAAAAGTGTTGCCAGATGTATTAGTACTCCCACACATAACTGCGTATTTGCATTGCATTGCAAATATCTGCGAGCTCGGACGAATGCGCCGCAATAACTTCTAATATAATTTTATGATGTTCAATAATTTGTCCGTGTCGTATAATTTTATCATAAATTTCATTTTACGTTGTCAGATGCCATCGGGCAAAGTGAAAAACTCCCAACAAATGCTCTTTGTCTCCTCCTTACTGCATAACCGTGACCCAAAATGCAGACCCCACGTAGGACGGAGGATTTTATAGCTTTTTATTAATATGACTAACTTTTTTCTGGGAATAATATAGCTACATATAATGCGATTCAAATAAGAATTGGAAAACCAAAGACCTCCATCTGTCAAATGTCGCTTGAAAAGTACGGTTTGCAAAAATATTTGGAACCCTTTATTAGCACTCAGCTAATTCTAGAATAAAAACCAAACATTTGTAAACAAACAATAACAAATATTAATGATTAATATTTTTTTCATTTTTTGAGCTTTGGCTATGATTGTTTGATAACCTAAATCGTCAACCAAATGTCACTTTCAGTTGTACGTTCATAAACTCGATTTCAAACTTTCGTTTACATAAAGGATGCATGTTCGTATGTGACCTAGCCATAATACATGGTTATTCATAACTACTCCGGCGGTAATACAGAGATGAGCGGAATTGAAGAGCTAGATTCTGTTTAATGTTTTTTCTCACACAGTCTAAATAAATAAATATTATTAAAAATCGGTTGGCTTCTCACCTAATCTTAGTAAATAAAAACGTTTTTTGCTTACTCTACTTATTTTGTTTGAATTGACAGCTATGACGTCACAACATGGCGCCCAGTCGGTTCTATTCTTAGCTATATCGCATTAGACAAGAGTTGTTTAAATAAAAATGTGCCTAACCCATAGAGAAAGCTAGCCATGTACTTTGTAAGGCTTTATGCTTGGGGATACTAGCTATGATGTTTTAGATACGTCATACATGCTTCTAATTTGGCAATACTTTAATAATTTGACAGGTCAGGTAATTGCCCGACTTGCATTTAGTCGTGTACGCTACAGTGGTCTCGAATTCGACATGGCCCTACGGTAGGCTTGTTGAAAATATATCGATGTATCGATATTTTTCGTTCGATATATCGATATTTTTGATTCGATATATCGATACAAAATAACCAATATCGAAATTCGTATCAAAAACGATATTTTTTTAATTATTAGCGGCATATCACGATCTAACTAAATTCGTCTCTGGAAAAATCGTAACTGGATCTCAGATTAATGATATTCAACATATCTATGATCTGCGCTCTATTTAGTATTGTCTATTATTTGTAAATCTGTTTCGCTGGTGAACTCGTTGTGCTGATTTCCATTATATTCTGTGAAGTGTGTGACTGTCTAGTCTTGTTTACGAAAGAGACCCTGCAATCATTTTCATCATTCGAAAATCATTTTTAGGGAGATAATTTTCGTTCCATTATTATTCCGCGTGTCATATTTCGTGAGATACTGTACGATATTTTTGGGAAAATTGGTCCGATATATCGATGTTTTTTTCGCGATATATCGAAGCCGATTTTGATATATTTTAAAAGATCGATGTATCGATATATCGATTTTTTTTTCAACTTCCGACATCCCTACCCTTCGGTGAGATAAGGGCATCGTCTAGGTATTAGTGGGTTGGGCTCTTTATTAGCGGTCCTCGGACTGGCTGAAGAGCTGGTGCTGGTGGGACGGAGTCCCCCATCATAACCTCGCCGCACTCCCAAGGCGGCGCTTACATATTATCCTGACGTTAAAATAAGTCGTCAACAAAACTGTGTACAGCAGTTCCGAGGACGCAGTCAGTAAGGTTTACCAATAAATTAGACGATCAGCATGTAATAGTTTATTTGGTTCATGAATAGAGTCTAACGGTTGAGTCTGCGCAGGCGGCGAGCAGCCAGGGCTGCGTGGGGTGGAAGCACAGGTCCAGGGTCACGAGCGAGTCGCGGGGCTCGCCGCCGGGGAGCTGCTTCAGGGGAACTATCAGGGGGTTTTGGAGCAGGTCGCTGCGAACATACACATTATTATTTTTATTTGAATATACTAATTACTTTTACAATATTCATGATAAATTACTTTATCTGTATTTATGCCGCTTGAATATAATAATTATATATCAACTAGCTGTGCCCCGCGGTGTTACCCGCAGTTTATTAGGGATATTTTCCCGCAGTAAAACATAGCCTATGTGTTAATCCAAGGTGTCAGCTAAATCCATACCAAATTTCACTAAAATCGCTCCAGCCGTTTAGACGTGAAGAAGTAACAAACATACACACTCACAAACTTTCGCCTTTATAATATTAGTGTGATTAATGGTACTTTAGGTCTATTTGTAAACGTAAATTGTGAAATTGTTTGTATAAGACTGTTTGTTATCTGAATGAAATAAATAAATAAAATAAAAATAAAATAAATTGATTACACACTTTAATCTGTATAAAAGTTAAATGAATTGCAGACAATTCGCAATCACTGTTTCGTCCAAAACTAAGCAGAGGTTATGTACATTGACGACCTCCGTGGTCGAGTGGTTTGTACGCCGGGTTTCATGGTGTCGCTGACTCGAGAGGTCCCGGGTTCGCATCCCGGTGGGGGCAGATGTTTGTGTGATGAATACGAGCATTTGTACTTCAGTCATGGATGTTTCATATGTATTTCTAAATAAAAATATACTTATATATGTACAGTATATGTATTGTATCCGTTACCCTAGTATCCCATAACACAAGCCTTACAGTGCTTACTTTGGGGCTAGGCTAATTGGTGTGAGTGTTGGAAATATTTATTTATTTATTATTCATCAAAAAGTGTTAGCAACACTGGAGTGTAGTGTAGTGTGGGGTACTGACTTGTAGACCATCCCGTGTGAGACGACAATATATCTGTCGTCGCCTCCGCTGGCAAACAGCGGGTAGCGCGGGTGGAAGGCGACGGCTCGGACGGCTCTACCGTGTAAACGTAGCGTTTGATACGGCCGCGCCGACAGTTCAAGATCGAACCTGGGAAGAAAAAAACATCTCAAATCGGTCCCCAAATCTTAAATGTTGTATGTGGGCTTACATTGAATACATTATTTTTGTTGTTTTGTTCTAAACTGTATTTTTACGCAGCATTTGATACGGCCGCGCTGACAGTTCCGGTCGAACCTGCGACCATAATGCGATACGTTTCGGGCGTGCACTAATATACACTTCCGGACACATTTATCGGCTACTTAGTTATAAACTTTTCAACGGTTTACGTTTCAACGGTCTGTAGCAAAATTAAGGTTGAGCAATAACAATTGACATTTAAACACGAAAAATATTGCACATAAATCAGCTTTAGATCTGTGCAGAAACTTTTTGCGCAATGTAGCATTATTTTTAGTTTAACAAACTTTCAATGCTTGATGCGGCCCATCTAGCATAGATGTGGCTGGAAGTGTATTTATTTATTGATAACAAAACATGTGTGTGAGTGTGTGTATACTGTATACTGTATACTGTATACTGACCACATGCACTTGGAGTCGTAGGAGCCGACCAGCAGATGGTCCCCGGAGGGATGTGCCGCCAGAGTGCTGTTCCACTGCGCGCCGGGCTGCAGCTACATGTGTGTGAGTGTGTGTATACTGTATACTGTATACTGTATACTGACCACATGCACTTGGAGTCGTAGGAGCCGACCAGCAGATGGTCCCCGGAGGGATGTGCCGCCAGAGTGCTGTTCCACTGCGCGCCGGGCTGCAGCTACATGTGTGTGTGTGTGTGTATACTGTATACTGTATACTGACCACATGCACTTGGAGTCGTAGGAGCCGACCAGCAGATGGTCCCCGGAGGGATGTGCCGCCAGAGTGCTGTTCCACTGCGCGCGGGCTGCAGCTACATGTGTGTGAGTGTGTGTATACTGTATACTGTATACTGTATACTGACCACATGCACTTGGAGTCGTAGGAGCCGACCAGCAGATGGTCCCCGGAGGGATGTGCCGCCAGAGTGCTGTTCCACTGCGCGCCGGGCTGCAGCTACATGTGTGTGAGTGTGTGTATACTGTATACTGTATACTGACCACATGCACTTGGAGTCGTAGGAGCCGACCAGCAGATGGTCCCCGGAGGGATGTGCCGCCAGAGTGCTGTTCCACTGCGCGCCGGGCTGCAGCTACATGTGTGTGAGTGTGTGTATACTGTATACTGTATACTGTATACTGACCACATGCACTTGGAGTCGTAGGAGCCGACCAGCAGATGGTCCCCGGAGGGATGTGCCGCCAGAGTGCTGTTCCACTGCGCGCCGGGCTGCAGCTACATGTGTGTGAGTGTGTGTATACTGTATACTGTATACTGACCACATGCACTTGGAGTCGTAGGAGCCGACCAGCAGATGGTCCCCGGAGGGATGTGCCGCCAGAGTGCTGTTCCACTGCGCGCCGGGCTGCAGCTACATGTGTGTGAGTGTGTGTATACTGTATACTGTATACTGACCACATGCACTTGGAGTCGTAGGAGCCGACCAGCAGATGGTCCCCGGAGGGATGTGCCGCCAGAGTGCTGTTCCACTGCGCGCCGGGCTGCAGCTTGCGCAGTAGTTCCTGCCGCACCAGGTCGTAGATGCGGACCGCGCGCTGGCTCTGTACCCCAACAACACAAACGTCATAGTAAGCGACGCGTCTATTTATTGTAAAGAGAGTTTTCAACGTTTTGAGAATTGAGAATATACATAAAAAAACTGGCCTCGCTCTATTAGGATTTCGTAAGATAATATGTTTCTTTTCGCCATAACTCACAGTGTTCATTATGAATAGGCGTTTTTAGTGTTTGTTGTTTACATATGGGACATCGAATACCAAAATTTCACATTATGTTTACGATCTGCGGACCTGTGACTTACGGACAGACATACAGGCGACAGAGTGACAGCAATATGATTATAATCATAATCTTTATTTGCTTAAAACACGGTATACAGGTATTGCATAAAGTGGATTGAGCTTGTGTTTTGCCATTTTTAAAAATAGCATGTAAATACAATCGTAGTATTGGGTAACTCTGACATTCTTAATTTCACAGAATTAAGAATGTCAGAGTTACCCAATTTTACGTCATTAAAATATAGAATGTCAACAAACCAATATAACAAGGTTTCTAAATGACAGATAAAATATCTGAAAAAATGAATTTTATCATAATTTATATAGGAATAGTTGAAACATGTCATTAATTTTTGTAATTAAAAAAACATTTTAGATGATAGAAATTATTTCCATTTTGCCATTTATATAGTTTATTTTTAAACATGGTTCTGTGGTTACTCTTCTGCTAACATAGTTTATCATATATTTTCTTTAGTTTCTAGTAGAATTTTCTTTAGTTTTACAAATTTAGCAGTTATATGTATGTTTATTACCTAAACTAAATGCTATTGCTTTAGAAAGGCAGAAAGTAATACGCGAGGATAGATTTATTAAAAGCTAGGGAAGCTGAAAGATCATATTATAAGGTGAATACTTGAACGTGATAATGTAGTGATGGAGGAGCTCGATGGCGCAGGTGGTTAGGGCATTCAGCCTACGATCGTGAAAGTAAAGCAACTTCCGCAATGGTCAATCATAGGATGCGTGACCAAAAACTGATCATCTTGAGCTTCTCCGTGCTTCGGTAGGCATGTCAAGTCGTTGATCCCGGCACCCACCAAATCGCGCCGCGACACCTGGTGATGATGATGATGATGATGATGATGATGATACTCACGGCCACCAGCAGCCAGGGCCGGGCGGGATGGAAGAGCGCGGCCTGCACGAGCCCCTTGTTGCGCCGGAAGGGCAGCTGGCTGCGGCGCCGCGACACCTGGTGATGATGATGATGATGATGATGATACTCACGGCCACCAGCAGCCAGGGCCGGGCGGGATGGAAGAGCGCGGCCTGCACGAGCCCCTTGTTGCGCCGGAAGGGCAGCTGGCTGCGGCGCCGCGACACCTGGTGATGATGATGATGATGATGATGATACTCACGGCCACCAGCAGCCAGGGCCGGGCGGGATGGAAGAGCGCGGCCTGCACGAGCCCCTTGTTGCGCCGGAAGGGCAGCTGGCTGCGGCGCCGCGACACCTGGTGATGATGATGATGATGATGATGATACTCACGGCCACCAGCAGCCAGGGCCGGGCGGGATGGAAGAGCGCGGCCTGCACGAGCCCCTTGTTGCGCCGGAAGGGCAGCTGGCTGCGGCGCCGCGACACCTGGTGATGATGATGATGATGATGATGATACTCACGGCCACCAGCAGCCAGGGCCGGGCGGGATGGAAGAGCGCGGCCTGCACGAGCCCCTTGTTGCGCCGGAAGGGCAGCTGGCTGCGGCGCCGCGACACCTGGTGATGATGATGATGATGATGATGATACTCACGGCCACCAGCAGCCAGGGCCGGGCGGGATGGAAGAGCGCGGCCTGCACGAGCCCCTTGTTGCGCCGGAAGGGCAGCTGGCTGCGGCGCCGCGACACCTGGTGATGATGATGATGATGATGATGATACTCACGGCCACCAGCAGCCAGGGCCGGGCGGGATGGAAGAGCGCGGCCTGCACGAGCCCCTTGTTGCGCCGGAAGGGCAGCTGGCTGCGGCGCCGCGACACCTGGTGATGATGATGATGATGATGATGATACTCACGGCCACCAGCAGCCAGGGCCGGGCGGGATGGAAGAGCGCGGCCTGCACGAGCCCCTTGTTGCGCCGGAAGGGCAGCTGGCTGCGGCGCCGCGACACCTGGTGATGATGATGATGATGATGATGATACTCACGGCCACCAGCAGCCAGGGCCGGGCGGGATGGAAGAGCGCGGCCTGCACGAGCCCCTTGTTGCGCCGGAAGGGCAGCTGGCTGCGGCGCCGCGACACCTGGTGATGATGATGATGATGATGATGATACTCACGGCCACCAGCAGCCAGGGCCGGGCGGGATGGAAGAGCGCGGCCTGCACGAGCCCCTTGTTGCGCCGGAAGGGCAGCTGGCTGCGGCGCCGCGACACCTGGTGATGATGATGATGATGATGATGATACTCACGGCCACCAGCAGCCAGGGCCGGGCGGGATGGAAGAGCGCGGCCTGCACGAGCCCCTTGTTGCGCCGGAAGGGCAGCTGGCTGCGGCGCCGCGACACCTGGTGATGATGATGATGATGATGATGATACTCACGGCCACCAGCAGCCAGGGCCGGGCGGGATGGAAGAGCGCGGCCTGCACGAGCCCCTTGTTGCGCCGGAAGGGCAGCTGGCTGCGGCGCCGCGACACCTGGTGATGATGATGATGATGATGATGATACTCACGGCCACCAGCAGCCAGGGCCGGGCGGGATGGAAGAGCGCGGCCTGCACGAGCCCCTTGTTGCGCCGGAAGGGCAGCTGGCTGCGGCGCCGCGACACCTGGTGATGATGATGATGATGATGATGATACTCACGGCCACCAGCAGCCAGGGCCGGGCGGGATGGAAGAGCGCGGCCTGCACGAGCCCCTTGTTGCGCCGGAAGGGCAGCTGGCTGCGGCGCCGCGACACCTGGTGATGATGATGATGATGATGATGATACTCACGGCCACCAGCAGCCAGGGCCGGGCGGGATGGAAGAGCGCGGCCTGCACGAGCCCCTTGTTGCGCCGGAAGGGCAGCTGGCTGCGGCGCCGCGACACCTGGTGATGATGATGATGATGATGATGATACTCACGGCCACCAGCAGCCAGGGCCGGGCGGGATGGAAGAGCGCGGCCTGCACGAGCCCCTTGTTGCGCCGGAAGGGCAGCTGGCTGCGGCGCCGCGACACCTGGTGATGATGATGATGATGATGATGATACTCACGGCCACCAGCAGCCAGGGCCGGGCGGGATGGAAGAGCGCGGCCTGCACGAGCCCCTTGTTGCGCCGGAAGGGCAGCTGGCTGCGGCGCCGCGACACCTGGTGATGATGATGATGATGATGATGATGATACTCACGGCCACCAGCAGCCAGGGCCGGGCGGGATGGAAGAGCGCGGCCTGCACGAGCCCCTTGTTGCGCCGGAAGGGCAGCTGGCTGCGGCGCCGCGACACCTGGTGATGATGATGATGATGATGATGATGATACTCACGGCCACCAGCAGCCAGGGCCGGGCGGGATGGAAGAGCGCGGCCTGCACGAGCCCCTTGTTGCGCCGGAAGGGCAGCTGGCTGCGGCGCCGCGACACCTGGTGCACCACCACGCTGCGGGACGCCGCGTCCGACAACGTCACGCATATGTAGTCCCCGCGCCCGTGCCACGCCACCTGCGGCACGGGAAATACAAGGCGATCAAACTCGTGCAAGTCAATTTCGTCGTTAGCCAACGGAATACTGTACGACCGAATACATACTTTAGAGAGCAGGGCGGGCCATATTCATATAACTTTAGACCCGCCGACCCGAATAAAGGCGCCGTGTGAGGTCGGCAATTGTGGTCAGTGCAAAGTGCAAGTGAGTGCTAGTGAAGTGCAGTGTTAGCGAAAGTGGTAGTGCACAGGACACCAAACGTAACTCAAACGGCACTTCGCCTATTTTTAGTAAAATAACATTTATGCACGAATGATTGTCGGTTTCGGTTTGTTTCATTCGTCTTGTCTCCACTTCATTACACTAACACCGACACTTTCATCTCATCTCGCGCCCCGGAACATCTACGGTTCAATAAACCGCACGATAAAATTATTTTATACTTTGCAGTATCAGTCTACGTTTCAACCGCGATTCATAAACTCCATACACTATTTCATTAGTCAAATAAGTTTCGTGTGCCAATAAACGGTATCTCTGTAAAATCCATTTTCTTTTCTTGTACGTACACACATCCCGTTCACCAATCTTCTTTGAAAGATTGCTTTCAGGAGATTAATATTCACAGTTCATTTATGAAAACCTTTAATATGTTCGTAAAAATAAAGACCGATTTACAAAAAAGAGTGATATAGGTACATAAGTTCAATACGAGAAACAAAAATAAACTTGCCGTTCCAAATCTCCGCCTGCTTAAGAATGGTATTTAATTTAACAGTTAATTATGGTAGAAAGTAAAATAAAGTGCCTAATGAGATTAAAAATTCCGTAACATAAAAAATATATAAAAAATTACTTAAAATACTCTATAGTTTATGTCATCAGGAATAATGTAGGATTGTAAATGTGAAAGAATTTTTCAAATTGGTTCAGTAGATTCCGAGCCTATTCAATATGAACAAAATCAAATCTTTCCTCTTTATAATATTAGTATAGACAAATTACACCACCATTTATCAATGAAATTATCCAATTGACAAAATCTATTTTCTGCTTTTTTTTCTTGGTATAGACTGAAATACATAACGACACACACGTAATACATATTCAGGTTAATTATTTAGTAAAATGTAATTGTAGTTTCGGCTGTTTTTTTTTTGTAAAATTTCACTTTTCTACAATACTGAACCCTTCAGCCAAGTTTCTTTTGTGTATTTGTAAATATCAAGTCAAAATATTTTTGTATGGTGCGCGAAAAGGACTTTCTTTTTAGGAGATAACAGCAACAGCGCTTTATTGAGATATGGACCACGACTTCGCCGCGGGTTCGGTCGAATGGCTTGAGTGTTACTGGGGCACGCACCCGCATCACTCATTTTATAATTCAAAATAAAACACAAATACAACGTAACGAAAGACAATTTAAAATGACGTAATATATACTGCATGTGCATGACAAAAAAATAACAAGGAGCAAGCAAGGCGCGTTCCTTACTTGATGACAAGCGACATGATGATCTATACAGTAAAACCAAAACGTCATAATTTCGCCAACTGTTTCATCATCGGACAGAGTATTTGCCAACTTATTGAAAATGATCACTGGTGGTATTCACTCCATAAAAAGTCAATGTAACGTCCCACAGCTGACATTTAAACGGCAACCAGTAACAAGTAATGTCACTTTGACCGGAAGTTTACATTTGTGTAACATCATTTTAGGCTCCACCCATCCTAAGCATTTCAGTCATTGACAATAAATAAATGTTCTTATGTTAATCTGCCGCGCTCGAGTAAATCCTTTTGGATCCTCGCTTGGGCTCCCCTACTAGCATTGTTGCTAATGCCATGATAACAGTGTACCTGAGAAGGTACATGAGAGAGAGAGAGAGAGAGAGAACCATTTTATTGACCAATAAAACATAACATAGAAATTATAACTGCTAAAATAAAAAACATATATAAAAAGTAAGCATTACACAATTTTCTAAACCTAACAGCCTTCATATTGGTCAATCAGGACCCTGCCTCAGCATAATGCTGCCGTGACATGTAACTAAACGTGTCACGACAACGCTGGTATTCTGACAGGGCCTGTATGGTGCACGGTTTTTTGGTATACACACAACAATATAATAAATTTAATCAAGAATACAAATAGATTTACAATTACATAAATAGTGCCAAGTGCAAAAATGAAAAAAATCTAAAAAATAAATAAATATATATGTATGAGGTTTCCCTCAATATATTCATTGACTGAGATTGTTCGCCCATGGTTTAATGTCTCTGCGTGTTCCCTTTTAATGATTTTGTAATAGATGTAATGATTTTACAGTAGATGGAAAGGTTGAGGTATGTATTTCAGAATTATTGCATGCATTGTAACTTCAGTAGGTGTTGCTTCAATTTAATCTTCAGCGTGTGTTTTGATTTTAGATCTCGCATCGGAGGAGGAAGGTCATTCCAACACTTGGAGGCAGCAAATCGGAAAGACCCACGAAAGGCTGCGGTTCGGTGTGTCGGAGTGCAGAAGATGCGAGTGCAAGACCTCTGCTGATACTTGCTACGTTGTTGTGCCCATACTAATTTTGCTTCTAGGTATTTCGGATTGCCCGTACGGATGATACCAAACATCAATGTGGTCAGATGCAAGCGCCTACGGGCCTCCATCTTTAGCATGTTTGCTGAGTTCAAAAATGGGGGTGACATGAGTTCGCGGTGGTATGTGAAAGCAAAAGCGGGCGCACGCATTCTGCACTCGCTGAATAAGTCGCGACGATCTAGCTAGCAAGCATGGACCATAGACAGTGTCGCAGTAGTTAAATTTGGACAAGACCAAGGCTTCGCATCGCGTGACTCTTAGTTTTTCTGGTAAATATTGTCTAATTTTGTATAACAGCTTCAATCTATAAAAACAGCTGCGCGCACATTCCACAATATGATTCTCAAAATTGAGTTGACTGTCCAAAGTCAAGCCCAGGCTCCTTGCCGAGTATACTCGCTCTATAACTATCCCGTCCATGTGAATATTGAGCAGATTTGGATCTATTTTACTAATATTGCTTTTGGTGCCTGTGAGTAGAAGTTTAGATTTTAGAGGGTTTAGTACTAGGCAGTTTGACCGACACCAACCAGATATTCTTGCAAGGTCTTTGTTTAGTGTATCTACAGCAGTGTTGATGTCACTTGGCTTGAAAGAGTAGTACAGCTGCACATCATCTGCATACAAATGATATTTGCATTCTTGTATACAGTCGATCAAATCTGCACTGTACAGAATAAACAAAATCGGTCCCAGCAAGGAGCCCTGGGGCACGCCTCGGGTAACTGGGACAGAACGAGATTGTAATTTTGTGCCATCAACAGCAGACATCTCCACCAATTGCTGCCTATCTGTCAAATAACTGCAAAACCATTTTATTGCATTGACGTCGAAGCCATAATATTTCAACTTGGATAAAAGAAGTGTTGTGTTTATGCAGTCAAATGCGCGGGAGCAGTCCAGCAGCAATAGGGCACTAACCATACCACGATCTTGAGCAGCCAAGAGGTGGTCCACTATATCCGATAAAGCCGTTGCCGTACCACGGCTCTTACGGAAGCCGGATTGTAATCGAGGCAGCAGGTCGTGGGTCTCGACATATTCGGTAAGCTGGTCGCAAACTATTCTCTCTAAAATCTTCGATGCGCAGGGCAGCAGGCTTATTGGCCTGAGATCACTCATAGACATAGGCTGTGCGTTTTTAGGTAGAGGTTTTACGACTGCCTGTTTCCACGAATCTGGAAATTTGCATTCAGCAATAGAGTGGTTTATTATGCTTGTGATCGCTCCCAACGATTGAGGCAAAGTGAGTTGTAACATTTCCAGCGAGATATGATCATGCCCCTGAGCATTGGATGAGAGTCTTTCAATCGCCTTGAGCACCACATCTTCAGTGACCGGATGCAAATTAAAGGTACCTGCACCAGTATGTCTGTGATGCTCAAAGAAAGTAAGGCTCGTGATTGAAACAGTCTCTTCACCAGGCACATTAAGGAAATGTTTGTTGATTGCATCAGGATTATTGAAACATGGCGGCAATTCAGCAGCTTCTATTTTATTTGGCAGTATGTCCCTTTTAAGATTCCGCCACAGTTTTTTTGGTTGCCTCATATTATTATTAATATGGCTAGCAAAATAATTCTTTTTCTCATCCTCAATGGCCTGGGTCGTCATACCCTTCATGAACTTATAACTTTCTTTAAAGGCTTGACTTCTGTGAGTTTTATATTTCAGATGATAGGAGTCTCTTATTCGTATCATCGACTTCACCGTGTCTGTTATCCAGGGATGAGGGGGTGTCTTGAATTTTTTTGATATAATAGGGGAATGAAGATCAAATAGTGAAGTGATGGTAGTTGATAAGGTATCAACCAAGCCATTGACGCAGTCTTTAGATTGTTTAAAATAGTCCCAATAAATTGAGCTCAGGTCAGCACTGAACAGGTCCAAAACAATGTTCTTTAGAGGTCTATATTTTATCCATTGAGGCAGTGGTTTGGCTTTTTTTATTTTAAGATCTGCCCTGATCATAGCATGTCCACCCAAATGTACCCATGTACATGTACTTATACTTCTTTTGGCATTATTAAAAATTCTTTTTTAATTGCATGCAAATAATTAATTACAATAAAATAATAAAAGGACTGGAAAGGGATAGTCAACACAGTAAATTAATAAAGTTCGTGCGTTAACCCGTTAAAACTAGTTTTATTTACAGTAAATTAAGCTCAGTTTTAATTTTAAAAAATTAATATATAGGGTAAAATTGAATGTTTTAATTAAACTTCGTGGGAATGTTGGGTTACGTATATAGAGTATCTCTGATTTTTTTTTGATTTTTTAAAAATGATTTAAAAAAAATTTTTTTTTGTTATATTTTAAGTCCTTTCCTCCTTTTGGCTACTAAATCATTATTCTTTTTAAACACGCATACAGAGTAAGTAAAAAACAACTAATAAGCACTACTAAAAAACGTAAAAACAGGGAGCAATGACCGCTCCCGCCGTTGAATACCTACCTACCTACCTATGCGCGGTGTACAGCGCAGTGAGCGAGCGCAGTCTCAAGACTACACACCGCGCGTGCGTATCTTTTAAATTTGTGACAAGACAAGATTTGCAAATAATGCCTTGATAAGTTCTTGTTCTGTGGCCTCAATATAAGAATTTGGATATGGTGTGTTGTTATTGCGAGTGTCACGGAATACTCAGCAGAGCCACAAGGCTTTACGAAAGTAGGTTTGGTGATTGATTCTGTTTACAAAATGTATACGGGAAGTTATAGTGAAAAAAATGAATAGGTACATCGGTCTCGTAAGTACTTTTGAATACCTGGTTATAAATTTCATTCTGACCCAAGTATTGAACTGCAATAAGTATTTCTTTTTGTTTATTGCCTATTTCCAATCGTGACAAAATTATTATTAACTTTTTTCTCTGCTTAAGAGAAGATGACATTTGTGCTTATTATTTCTAAAAGGCATCTAAGACGATTTTATTGTATTGTGTGGAATCAAAGGAGTCAGCTGAGCTCTGTGTACCTACTCACTCAACGGCTGCCGGGCGCGGTCGGTCGTTGACCCGCGTAATAATAACTCGCTTAATTTTACTGTTTTTCCGTTTTTAAGAAATGCTTATTTATTAAGTACTTGTTTTTCATTGGATATGTAAGTATGCTTGTTTAAAATAAATAACTACTCAAAAGGAGGAAAGGACATAGAAATACACAAATTATAAATAAATACATGAAAAAAAAATACTTAAAAAAACCCAAAAAAAAATCAGGCATACTCTATACACGTAACCCAACAATCTCACGAAGTTTCATTAAAACATTCAATTTCACCCTATATAATCAAAATATTCAATTTAAATCACTACTGAATATAATTTATTCCAACATATATAATTCGCACTTCTATGAAACTAAAGCACGTGTTGTGAATATAGAAACTAGAAACATATGGATAAATATTATAAATATGAAAACATTGATCAGAGGCGACGAGCGTGCCAACATGCGCGAATAATAGAGGTTCTATTAGGTGGTAGCTTTTTTTCGAGACTTAATGTGCGGTTTTGCGGCCAACTTCATGATGTTACTTTTCTGTTACAGTGATGCGCGCGCATCTTAAAATTTCCCTTTCCTAATTTTTTCATAACGCGCCTAAAGAAGTATAACATCAATAACATAAATGAGTATAATGAAGGAATAGTATTGTACTCACGTGTACGATGTCCTTGAAGTGCTTGACCGCGATCCTGACGCCGCGCGCCCACTCCTCGGGCGCCACCTTCTGCCACTCCACGCACGAAGCGGTGCGCTCATCCTCTGCATGTTCAACTACATTTTACTTTCGATTACACTCGGTCCAAGTATCACACGGGACTCGAACCTGCTCTTTCCGCTATCGGCCGAGGCAGCAATGTCAAACCAAATAACTACAAGTACCCCCCCCCCCCCCCCCCCCCCCAATGTATAAACAGTATGACGCTCGAAACCCTGTCTGCATTAGCCCTCTATTTTGTTTTTCACGGTCGCATTTTTTTCCAGCGGATTGTCGTCTTATTTTTCGAGTTCTATTGTACATTCAGGCTTCATTTATGTCTTAAATCAATCCTGAATAGTTTCTCTACAAACTTATCTATATATTTGATGTGTTAATAAAAATCATTACTAAATATGGTAAAACGATTAATAAGAAATATGAATATAATTTTCTCAACCCGTGACAGAAATCTGCCATCTCCACAGACAGGAGTTTTTTGACGTTGGCAGAAATCTGCCATCTACACAGACCAGGAGGTATTATACATTTGAAAGAAGGATAGCAACTGTTAAGTATTCATATAGTATTTTATCTCGAATCCAGTATAATTCATTTTATTTTTTTATTTATTTGATTAGGTACACATATAGCAATACATATCATACATTACAAAATTATTAATGACAAAAATCCACTTATTAAAACCATGCTGGAAATTTGATAGTCCATCCGTTACATGGGCACAGATCAAGGAATAGACAAGTGATTCGAAACATTTTGAAAAGCAGGACAAGACGGAAATCGGACGATAGTTTCTGACGTCTGACTGGTGACGTTTTTTATGTATAGGCACTATTCTTGCCTTTTTGAACCGTTCCGGAAATATTCATTTACCTAACGATTTATTAAATATAACTGCCAGTGGTAGGGCGATCGAAGATCCACAACGCTTAACAAAAAAGGGTGGTATGTTGACCGGCTCTCTTATTTATATATAGTTACGAAATGCTCTTTAATACTTTCCGTTCGGTAAATACTCTGCAAGAGATGTAGTCATATGCAAACGGTACAATGTTATCGTCAGAAACATCATCATCATCGTCATATAATATATACTGGGTTCGAACCAGAAATTGTGTGATGAATGACGTTACCATGCCACAACTCCTTTGACCGCAGATTCGTATCCTCTCTTTTTGTAATCGTGTGAAAGCGGTTTACCAACTCTTTGCCATAATTAAATTGTAGTTAAAATATTTCCGGAGCTGTTAATTAACAATGAAATTTGATTTAAGGAGCTGTTGTCATTATCGTTGCTATAAGAAGAAAATAAGAAAACACAGGACTAAAGTTAACAATGTAATGAAGTTAGCAGTGATCAGTCCCGGCGGCCACTCGATGTGACTAGAACAGTGGTGAGTATATTGCAGGGTGTCACTCACCGGCTCGGTCTCGTCTCGGCGGCGGTTCCTCCAGCAGCTCTATGGTCCGGGCCGCGATCCTGTGGGCCCCGATGTCGGCCCCCGGGTTGAGCAGCAGCAGGCGGGGCCCCACGGCGGCCGCCACGAGGCTGAGGCCGGCCGCGGGGCTCCACAGCACGCGTGTGCGTGTAGTGGTGAGTATATTGCAGGGTGTCACTCACCGGCTTGGTCTCGTCTCGGCGGCGGTTCCTCCAGCAGCTCTATGGTCCGGGCCGCGATCCTGTGGGCCCCGATGTCGGCCCCCGGGTTGAGCAGCAGCAGGCGGGGCCCCACGGCGGCCGCCACGAGGCTGAGGCCGGCCGCGGGGCTCCACAGCACGCGTGTGCGTGTAGTGGTGAGTATATTGCAGGGTGTCACTCACCGGCTTGGTCTCGTCTCGGCGGCGGTTCCTCCAGCAGCTCTATGGTCCGGGCCGCGATCCTGTGGGCCCCGATGTCGGCCCCCGGGTTGAGCAGCAGCAGGCGGGGCCCCACGGCGGCCGCCACGAGGCTGAGGCCGGCCGCGGGGCTCCACAGCACGCGTGTGCGTGTAGTGGTGAGTATATTGCAGGGTGTCACTCACCGGCTTGGTCTCGTCTCGGCGGCGGTTCCTCCAGCAGCTCTATGGTCCGGGCCGCGATCCTGTGGGCCCCGATGTCGGCCCCCGGGTTGAGCAGCAGCAGGCGGGGCCCCACGGCGGCCGCCACGAGGCTGAGGCCGGCCGCGGGGCTCCACAGCACGCGTGTGCGTGTAGTGGTGAGTATATTGCAGGGTGTCACTCACCGGCTTGGTCTCGTCTCGGCGGCGGTTCCTCCAGCAGCTCTATGGTCCGGGCCGCGATCCTGTGGGCCCCGATGTCGGCCCCCGGGTTGAGCAGCAGCAGGCGGGGCCCCACGGCGGCCGCCACGAGGCTGAGGCCCCCGCGGGGCTCCACAGCACGCGTGTGCGTGTAGTGGTGAGTATATTGCAGGGTGTCACTCACCGGCTTGGTCTCGTCTCGGCGGCGGTTCCTCCAGCAGCTCTATGGTCCGGGCCGCGATCCTGTGGGCCCCGATGTCGGCCCCCGGGTTGAGCAGCAGCAGGCGGGGCCCCACGGCGGCCGCCACGAGGCTGAGGCCGGCCGCGGGGCTCCACAGCACGCGTGTGCGTGTAGTGGTGAGTATATTGCAGGGTGTCACTCACCGGCTTGGTCTCGTCTCGGCGGCGGTTCCTCCAGCAGCTCTATGGTCCGGGCCGCGATCCTGTGGGCCCCGATGTCGGCCCCCGGGTTGAGCAGCAGCAGGCGGGGCCCCACGGCGGCCGCCACGAGGCTGAGGCCGGCCGCGGGGCTCCACAGCACGCGTGTGCGTGTAGTGGTGAGTATATTGCAGGGTGTCACTCACCGGCTTGGTCTCGTCTCGGCGGCGGTTCCTCCAGCAGCTCTATGGTCCGGGCCGCGATCCTGTGGGCCCCGATGTCGGCCCCCGGGTTGAGCAGCAGCAGGCGGGGCCCCACGGCGGCCGCCACGAGGCTGAGGCCCCCCGCGGGGCTCCACAGCACGCGTGTGCGTGTAGTGGTGAGTATATTGCAGGGTGTCACTCACCGGCTTGGTCTCGTCTCGGCGGCGGTTCCTCCAGCAGCTCTATGGTCCGGGCCGCGATCCTGTGGGCCCCGATGTCGGCCCCCGGGTTGAGCAGCAGCAGGCGGGGCCCCACGGCGGCCGCCACGAGGCTGAGGCCGGCCGCGGGGCTCCACAGCACGCGTGTGCGTGTAGTGGTGAGTATATTGCAGGGTGTCACTCACCGGCTTGGTCTCGTCTCGGCGGCGGTTCCTCCAGCAGCTCGTCGGTCCGGGCCGCGATCCTGTGGGCCCCGATGTCGGCCCCCGGGTTGAGCAGCAGCAGGCGCGGCCCCACGGCGGCCGCCACGAGGCTGAGGCCGGCCGCGGGGCTCCACAGCACGCGTGTGCGTGTAGTGGTGAGTATATTGCAGGGTGTCACTCACCGGCTTGGTCTCGTCTCGGCGGCGGTTCCTCCAGCAGCTCGTCGGTCCGGGCCGCGATCCTGTGGGCCCCGATGTCGGCCCCCGGATTGAGCAGCAGCAGGCGGGGCCCCACGGCGGCCGCCACGAGGCTGAGGCCGGCCGCGGGGCTCCACAGCACGCGGCTCACGCGGCCTCCCAGCGAGATCGTGCGGAGGCACCGACCCGTCGATATCTCCCATACTGAATCGATACGAGATCTCGGTTACTTGTAAACTCGTTATATCGTTCGAATATACACCGTGGATTTTGAGTCATCTGTCAAACCTAACTCATTAATTTAGACGATGACGAATTGTTTTTAAAAAACGACATTTATCTCTTTATTTTTTTCCGAAAGTCTCCATCATCCTGTAATAGTATGAATCGATAGATCTATGAAAACTTAGCCTTTTTTATTATGACACCGTAAAGAAATATCCTGGGAGTCGAAAGATATGACACATGAACATTTTTAAGTAGCTAAATAAATTAATTTTATAGTACCTTTATTTTATATTATTAGTTACCATAATAATATGCATGAGTGTCCTATACAACCGGATATGAGAAAAGCCAATTTACTATGTATAACGAACAGAATGTTTGAAAAAACCCCAACCCATGCGGGGATTTTTGGATATACAATAGTGCGGCAGAATAACATAAGGGGGCACCCTTGAACCTTGTAAAGTACTCCCATAATACCTGAGCCCCCTATGTAGTGTCGAACTAACTAACTAAAATTAATATAAATAAATTAATTCTATTGTTTCATTAATGTACGTAGTACTTATACTTATTTAACTTAAAATAACTAAAGACCCCCGGGATGGAATTTGATGCGCTTTGGTACAGATGATCATGACTATAATACCTTTTAAACAAATGTAGTTTAAGCTGTGGCGGACTTGGGTGCAGTGTCCATACATTTTTGCCCAATGTCCTTTAAAAACCATATTTCGTTCATTATTACCCAATAAACATTTAGGCGTCAATTAGAGCTTGTTTTAGAACTGACCGAGATATAAAGGCGCTACAGCAGCAGCACTTACAACTTTTGGCGACAAAAGAGCGTAAACAAGCAAAATATTTCACGTAGAGCTATACCACAGAATTACAAGGGTGATAACAGGGTGAGTTTAAAGGTTAAAGACATACAGCAGCATTTTTTAACTCTACAATATGGGCAAAGCATCTTGTGTTATAGCTTTAAGTGAATCTTACAACTATGAGATCTAAATAAGAAGTGAGCATTGACTACAACCCCCCAAAGTGCTATGCAAGCGATAATAAACTCTCGCCAAGAACCAAAAGTTGCACAAAAGCAATAATTACCACTACCAGTTCCACAATGGTGCTCATAAATTTTTTTGTACCACCAAATGCCTAAAGAGGTACAAAATGCTCTTAAGTTACTAAAAGTCGAACAGCAGAAACATTCTTCGCTATGATAGAACTTCTAGTGGTTATTGTGACTTCTGTATAACTTTAGGTAAAGTAATAGAGCTTAATACCACTTCTGTACCCCTCATTCGTTTACTTGTTGTTGATAGTAATGCAATGGCGACGCAACTAAAAAAAGGTTAGAAAAACATAAGAAAACACGGTTTAATTGAAGTATTTTGCTTCATTGTGTTCTAACACTACTAGCACAATACCTTAAACTAGAATAGGCAACGTTTTATTAGATTATTACAAAAGTTTTATGTTACTCCATATCTAATAAAATATTTCTTTTCAGTAAATAGACAACAGACATCGGGCGCTTGAATAATTTGTTAATAATACATATACTTATTCACAGTGTACTTTCCTTCGCAGTAAAAAGTCCACTAGGTTGAAACTAAAAGATTATACTTTTAATTTCATTTTCATAAACGAATGGCGGCGTTTTGGATGCGACAAATACTAACATACGCACTGTAACATAAAAACGAGAGGTTAAATTATGTTGACGAAATAAAAAAAATAGTCTTAGAAGTTAAAAAGGTTAGCACCTGAAGTCCTTTTTATAGCTTTTGTGCGTCTATATTAGAGTTCAAAGCGGTAATAATCACCTACTTGCCACTCTCTTATCACTTAAAAATATAGTGAGCGACATTTTAGTTCTACCATACCACTTAGGGAGTTAGTATTCACCTATTTGCAGCCCTTTTAGCACCCAAAGGGTTAATAAACGATATTTTATTCTATTGTACCACTAAGGGAGTGAATTTGTAGCAACATAATTTTATAATATCAAGTAATGTTATTAATCAAAGCGCCATCTACCAGCATACCTATGAATCATCGAATAATGTAATCTGTTTCAAAGAAACACGGAATATATTATGAATGAGAAAAAATTGATAGTTGTATTTGAAAGATGAGATAGATGGAGTTGTATTTAATAGTGTTAAATAAAAATACACGCATTGATTGCGTGGTTAGCTATTGTTCGGAAAGCAATTACTTGGTGGGAGAGAGGCGTAGCCGTCCGAACCGGTCCTGTCGCTTCCTCGCACCAAATATGGTGATTTGAGAGAAATTTGCTAGGACGCCGTGCACACGTGATATGCCCGTATAAATAGCTTTGCGCAGACGGTTTCAAGTCTCTTTTGTCTTCTATCCGTACTAAGGAACATATAGTAAAATTGCACAGTGACTGGAAGCTGTAGTCCGTGCATTAATAATTGATATATTTTCCCCGGAATAACGGGTAAGTCCAATATCTTACTAGTTATGTCGTAGGTCAAATTTAGGTTTTTTTATTGAATTATAGGAAATATGTGTAATTGTTTCTAGGTCCTTTGAGGTGGCTAATTAAAACAACAGTATACGATAATTGTAATTAATTAATCCTGCTTGGAATTTCTTTGGATATACATACATAAAGAAGTACGCTATGTATATATAAATGAGCCTGTGAATGCAATCTTGATCAAACAAAGAACACATGTGATGACAGCAGATTCTGTTACCACCCACGTGGATACCTGAATCGCTTGATGGTACCAATATCTTGAAAGCTAAGTAAACTCTCAACCTATCTAATCGTTAACCATTGCATTCTCCGAAGTACGAAGTTTCAGATTGTTAAAACATAATAAAAGATTTGTTGTTGTAAACTGTAGATTCATTAACGAAAGTAGCTTCATATTTGCCAAACGAATTGTTTCTTTAGAATCTTACTATAAATATATTTGTATGTACGATACTTGCTAAAACAAAATGTTTTCTTAGAATATTAACATTAATATAACTGTATGTACACCTGTTTTGACTGTATGTTCGTCACTACTTAAAATTTGTAAAAGCCATCCTTCAAAGATATTAATTAATAATGTTAAGTGAGTTAATATATGTTGAAATTTAAAACTGAATATTAACAAAATATATCTTGTTCACTGCGGTTGTTGATTTTTTCATTTTATCTCCCTCAAATAACAGTATTACGGCGCCCTGATTAGATATTAGTTAATTTCGAGTTTCATGCAAAAGCCCTGAAATAGCTGGTGATAACAAAAATTGTTACAAAATGGCGACCAACTTATGGGCCGAGCAATAAAATACTGTATTTGAGGGAAATACTGGTGTGCTAATATGATGATAAAAAAGGTTGGCGGAAAAATTAATGCTTAAATCCGCAACCAGTCTGAACAGCACACTAGAATTAATTAATTTAGTAACTATTCAAAAAAAAAAAAAAAATTAGAAATCTTTAATATTCAGCATTTGTGGAAAATACTGATGTGCTAATATGATGATAAAAAAGATTGGTGGAAAAATTAATGCTTAAATCCCCAATCAGTCTGAATAGCACATTAGAAGTAAACAACTTAATAACTACTAGTAATAACCAACTTAGAAATCTTTAATAAACAGTACTCTTGGAAACTACACATGTGTTTAAATGATGATAAAAAGGTTGGTGGAAACATTGATGCTTAAATCCCCAATCAGTCTGAAAAACACACTAGAATAACACTTTAGAATTAATTAACTTAGTAATTTTTAACCTTAAACAGTGAACAAGATCGTCTATAATAATTGAAATTTGTAATAATAAAAATACCCTCCTTCAAAAAATAAATTTAGTATTTAACATTTTTAGACTAAATAACTTGAATAAGTAGCTTGATTTAGGAACTTGATTAACAGTAATTTAATAAATTAATTTGAAAGTGAAATTTAGTAATTAACTTAGTAACAAAATATTTAACTTTAACTTGAGAAATCTGCGAAAATGCTCTCTTTACAAAAATATGTAAACTACTTCAGAAAAGATGAAATCATATATGAACTGGATATTCTTGGCATTTCCACAGCTCCTGACACATCGGTGGATGCACTGAGAAAGCAGCTTCGCCAAATTTTCAAGCTGAAGAGACGCGGTAGCATCAAGTGTGCCCCAGTGATAACACCACTCCCTGCAAGCGAGCTCAAGGCCTGTACGCCGAAAATTGCTGAGCTCGAGGATCTGTTGTCATCAGGTGACCCCGGAAAAGACAGTAATCTTCACTTACGTGTGTCAGTTAGGGCTAATTATCTGATCGATAGACTGGCTCGATTGGATGTCGAGAATGCTTCTCTAGTGGATTTGCGCCACAGGCTCATTCGTATTTTAGCTCAGGTAGAACAGGAAGATGAGAGTAGTTCAGACGAATTAAGTGATAAGGAGGGAACTCCCAAGTGTAAGAAAACCAGCGAGAAGGATGTGAGGGAGCAAGAGACGGATGAGTATGAGTTGCCTATCTCGAAAACTGGGAAGAATGCAAAGAATGGAAGTGAGGAATTAATAGTAATCAGAGATAAACCAATTAACTTAAATTCGCTTAATTTAAAATATAATGGTTCAAGTTGCGTTAGAAGTTTTATTGAGAGGTTAGAGGAACTTAGACAGGCCCGCGAGATTCCGCAATCTCGTATGCTGACGGCATTTTCAGATCTCTTAGAAGATTCTGCATTAGCTTGGTTCAGAAGTAACAAAGCGAACTTAAACTCATATTCTGATCTATTGTTACACTTAAGAGAGGATTTTGATATTCCGGACTTAGACTATCGACTTAAAAACGAAATTAGACAACGCACACAAGCTAGACAAGAGACAATAGTAAGCTATATTTCCACTATGCAAGGTATGTTTGCGAGATTATCCATTCCCATGTCATTAGATGAACAGTTAGAAATTTTAATGCATAATATTCGTCCAGAATATATGA